ATAATTGCACTATGGGGCAAGGTACAGTTTGCAATTGCACTTCAGACACCCTACCTGGCCAGAAAGCTGGGTCGTATACATTGCCGGAATCGCAATTCTAAACTGTATCTTCGGCCATAGACGAGTTATAACTGCACTATGGGGCAAGGTACAGTTTGCAATTGCACTTCGGGCACCCTACCTGGCCAGAAAGCTGGGTTGTATACATTGCCCGAACTGCAATTCGAAACTGTATCTTCGCCGATAGTGCAATTATTACTCATTTTTGTAAACTCCCGCGCAGTCCCCCCCCCCAAAAAAAAAGAAAGTCCTAGTGTTAGAGTTGTGGAAGGCTCCGGTGAAGGGGAAGTGGAGCTTGTTTATTGTTTGCCAGCGAGGGCCGAAGAGGCAGGGCCACCCCAGAATCGTATGCTTCGACTTCGTTTTGTCCAAAGCTTTTCCGTCGTGCTTCACGGACGGAAAGCACTGGGAAACACCCACCCAGCCATGTGGGTGAGTAGCACCGAGTCCTACAAGCATGGAGCTGTCGACGGAGAGGTCACGATTTCAAGTAGCTATTCGGCCGATGGATACAGCAATCTTCGGGGCTATTGTGACCGTCCACCTCCTTCATTCTGCATCACCTGGGGCCCCGGCTAGGTCCGCTTACACGAATGACTCGATAGTGACCGTAGATAGCAGAGACAACGGCTAGAATCTCTTAATCCGTGCAAGTGGGACCTTGCCCCTGGGCGGGGTCAGTTTTATATGTGTTTTGAACCGAAATCGTTAGGGCTTACCGCCGTGCTCCCGCCTGTTGGACGTGAAGATTTCAATTAAAAAAAAGGCTGAAATTACGGCGGGGAACGTCAAARGAGSCCCGCCAATATTTTTGCTGTAAAACTACCGCGAAGCGCTATTTTGGAAACTCACCCTAAAAAAAAGAATGAGAACAATGAGAAGAACAAGTGTGCCCACTGCCCAGTTTCAAAAAAGGCTGAAACAGTAGTGCGGAACACGGCAGCGTAGAAGATAGTCTGACCTCTATGAGCGTAGTTTCGGCGAAGTACAGTCCGGAGAGCGAAAGTGCGAAGGAGGGTTGGGGGTGGGGTGAGAGGCTGTGCGATGGGCGAGAAGGAATGACGACGGAGGGAGAGGAAACCGCGTCTGTTCACCTCGGCGCGTGCGGAAGGCGAGTTCTTGACAAGGGGGGAGCTCTGCTGTGGGAAGAGACGGTTGGTTCGAGCAACAGCTTGGAATGGGAAAAGGGAGTGACGATAGAGGCTGTTGGCTTGATACCCCTGCGGATGACCAAGGATATGGAGGCTCTTTGAACCTTATGCCAGGTCGGAGTATCAAGAAATGCTCCAAGGCCGCAGCGACATGGAAAACGGCCGCCATATACGCAGCTACAGCCCTTCTTGGCTGCTGTTGGTTCGCCATCGCAGTCGTGATGACCATGAGAGGCGGGACGGGGAGGGGTCGGACTTGTTGGGGGGGTCTGGGCTCAGCTGCAGTCGGAGTGCCAAGCAGGAGAGCAGAGGTGCGGATCGGACCCGCCGTAACGTCAGACTCCCTAGACTTGCAGCGGCGTCAGGGAAGCAAGGACGAAGAAGCGGTGGCAGCGCATGGCGGACGGGACATGGCAAGGGTGCTGGTTGAGCAGACATCGCCGTCGGACTTCCTGAAGGTGTACGGTACAGAGCTGCTGAAGACAAAGCGGCTCGTGCTTCACCATACACCCCAGCTCCCTGTGCTTGCGGACCTCAGCCCGTCAGACGAGAGGTACTGCAACTGGCTTTTCCGGGACTTGGTGTTCCCGCCATCGCCGGACAACCTAAGTTCCATGGTCTCCTTCTACTATGTGCTGGATGAACGCTGCTATGCGAGCGGAAATGGGACCGAAGACGAGTGGCTGATGTCCATCAGGAAGGCGAACGTGAATATCACGAGTTCTGAAGCTCAAGGCGCGGAGGCTCCGGCTGATCTTGACGTCATTACTTATTGGTGGCCCCTTCGGGAACCGAAGGGACCAAGAAAAACTTTCCCTACAGTGTGGCAGAGGTATAACAGCAGCAGTGTCCCCATGGCTTCGTTTATCGGAATGGAGCTTTCCCGGCTTGGAACCAACCTAGTCTTTGCGACCCATAGAACCAGCGGGACCATGAAAGCGCAGGTCACGTTCCTTTCCACCGCCTACGGCAATCGATCTTCAGCGGCCATAGATTCAGATTGGGCGGACGGCTTTGCGTTCAATCCGCAGAAGACGAAGCTGTACCTTAGCGACCCGAAAGATCAACCACGACTTCTCTCCTTTCCCCTGGGGCAGGAGGAGGTACCGCTGACGGACTTCCCTGTTTACAAGACGGAGCAGATCTTCAGCGGCGGAGTCAATGGTGGTGGTCCCAACGTCAGCAGTGTGAGATTCGGCAGGCAGAGTCTGACGGCAGACGGGAAGTGTCTCTACTTCGTTGACTATCTGTCGAACCGATTGTGGGCGGCGAACCTTAGCTTGCCGCAGCTCAATTTCACGCTGGTGGCGGGAACAGGAGAAGCCGGAAGGGATGATGGATTGCCATTCCAGGCCTCATTTAAGGGCTTGCGATCCGTGGTGGCGACTCCAGATGGGTGCAATCTATTCACGACGGAGGTCAATGCGCCGGGAGTTGTTCGCTGGCTCCAGCTTGATGCGCCCTGCGGTAAGGCAAGGACCGTGGTCACCGTTGCGGAATTGGTGAACTGGGGCCTCTGGAGTCTGGCCCTCCATGACGATGGGACCAAGCTGACACTGTATGTGGGATCCAACAGGGGACACCTGTTCCAGCTGGAGATCGATCGGTCTAAGCTTCACCTCTGCGAACCAACATACCCTACTCCCTCCCCCGAGCTGTCCTCCGCTCCACTCTCGTCGGCCCCTACTTCCTCACCAGAGTCCTTATCCGGTCCACTTTCCTCGGCGCCACCTCCCATTCCGTCTAACGATGGTGTGCCTCCCAGCCTTTCCTCGGCGCCAGCTCCACTCTCCTCGGCGCCACCTCCCATCCCGTCTAGCGCTGGTGTGCCTCCCAGCCTTTCCTCGGTGCCCGCCCCGATCCCGGCGAGTAACCCTGCAACCCCTACTTCGTCATCACCGCCATCGGTAGAAGGGCAAAGAACACCTCCACTCTCATCCTCTCCCCTTCCCGAACCAATCTGGCCTATCGATAGCGAGTCTGGCCCCACTCCCTCCAGTGGCTCGGGCCCCAGTTCAACTACCTCCCCCCCCGCCCTCAGCACCGATGGGGGTAATCATACTTCCCCCACCCAAATCGATGGGCTTCACAACGCTTCCATTGCCAATGCGTCCAGGGACACTGCCCCTCCCAACGACGGCAAGATTGTCCGGCTCGCGGTAGTGATTGCAGTGATGTCTACTCTCCTAGGTCTCATATTTCTCTGCGCACTAGCCTACTGCATTTGGGTTTTCTGGTGCTTCGGTTTCGAAACATCCAGCAGTTGAGACGGCGGGAGATTCCTGACTGAGGAGCGTGCAGCTAGAGGTCAGCGTGATGAGCGAAAATGGTAATTACACGTTTGCCCTTGCACCAACTCGGTGTTTGCCTACATACCCCCACTGCTGAAGTTAGGGAGAGGTTTGGGAGGGAGGGTGTTCCCTGGTAGTGTACATACAAGGGGAGAGAGAGAGAGAGAGAGAGANAGAGAGAGAGAGAGAGAGAGAGAGAGAGAGAGAGAGAGAGAGAGAGAGAGAGAGAGAGAGAGGTGGGAGTCATGGGACGTCATGATGGAGGTAGAAAGTACTAGAAACAACGAAACAGAAATAGTAATTAACGAAAATCAATCAACGAAAGTCCGTAGAAAATTAACAACGGTACGAAATGAATGAATTTATTATTTAATGTGAACTGATTATTAGTGAAGTGATTGAAAATTCAAATTTCAGAAACAAATAACGCGTGTACTGAAGGGATCCGTCGGCCTCGGTCTGGACTGATTGCAGGTCGGGTTCCCTGTAGTCGCGCATACGTATAAGTACAAAGAAGACTGACAGCATGAATATCAGCACCCGTAAGAAGGAGATCTTGTGCACCCCTACCTTCTTCCCCCAAACATAAAGCCTCATCATAAAGATGAACGCATATGGACCCTTTTCCCGTCTAAATGATGAAGGCTCATCATGAAGATGAATGAATGCGAACCCTTTTCCAGTCCCAATACGGTGGTGAAGCCTCATCATAAAGATAAACGTATGCGGACCCTTTTCCTGTCCAAATACGATGATGATAACGGGCCCCATCATGTTCGGGGAAGAGGGTTGCCCTATCATCAAGTGAAAAGTTATTAAATACCCCTCCGGCGAAAGCTTTGTGTTTGTTCCAATCCAAAAAAAAGTCTGGGACGCCCTCGAAAAGAAGCTGGAAGTCATTTTCCCACCATGGCGCGGCCTGAAAAAATGACTTTCCCGCCATTTTTGCACAGCTGGCGTAATCCGGCCCAGTCGAGGTGAGGTGCAAAAATAACATGCATGTTTCTTTAAAGGCATCCCACACTTCTTCACCCATTTGGGGTGGAAAGAATACAAATGTTTCGGCCGGGCGGGGTTTAACAGCAAGTGGGGCAATGGGAGAGTGAAGGGATGATGATGACGATGACGGCGCCTCTTAAGACCACTGTCCAGCGACGATGACGATGACGACTACGAGGATGATGATGAGAATGATGATGAGGATGATGATGAGGATGATGATGAGGATGAGGATGATGAGGATGATGATGATGAGGATGATGATTTCGATGATGATGATGAGGAGGAGGAGCCCATAATGATATGGTTGATGCTTTTGGGCTGGAGTCGTAGTACAGCAAGTTCACGGGGAGGTTTGCGCAATACACGAGTGCGTACCAGATAAAGGAGCAGCCTCAGACTGACTGGCAACTCCGTCAATCTGTCACTCCATCCAACGGGGATTGTTCAACAGACCAGCGAGGGGGAAAAAAAAAGAAGAAAAAAAAATGAAAAAGACAACAGATCCGCGACTCCGAGCAGCAATCCTGCTCACGCCACCGACATCGGTCAGCGGAGATTAGAAATCGATCTGTCTGACAGAGTAATTAGCTCTTGAAATTGGCTATCTGTTTATAATTAGAGCGTTAAGGAGGAGATTACCGTGCCCTTTGCCCTCCATCCGTTGTAATTAGAACGCTTGAGTGGAGATAAGCGTTCCATTTGCCCTCGCGTTTAACGATATCATGGCCGCAAGCGAAAGAATCGTTAAGATAATCAAAAGGAAAAAAAGTAATCGAGGCGCATTTTGGAGATGCCACCGTCATTTACTGCTGATGCTATAAATAGAATTTGATCCCATTTGTATGAGGTTGCGGATATTTCCCTGCCGAACAGATCGCGGTATTTAGTGCCAGGTATCCTTTTTTTTTTTTTTTTTTTTTTTTTTAAACGGTTCCTTTTTATTTATAAGCATCAATCAATGAACTGAGGCCGGGGACCTCACAATTCCACCCGGACTTATCCTAATTACTCCGTCACACGATTGGTCAATTTGATTGCATCCGAGCATAGCAGCACTCGCAGCACTGGCTGCTCTCGACCGTAGATTAAATCACAGTAAATGCTAAATCAATAGATTGCGGGGTGTAAGTATGACGTTGCCACCCCCCGGGTTCATAGGTAAATGGGTATGTAGGTAGGTAGGTAGCCAGGTAGGTAGGGAGGTAAGTAGGGCAATAAATGTTTCTTTATGGGGTAATTGCAAAAATTGCGGGTTTTGGAACTTTCCCAGCAGAAATGTTGTCGGCGTCCGGAAGAAAGGTAAGTATTCTTGCAACGGAAGTGGGACCCCGCCCGCCCGCAAATATTTTTGCTGTGAAAGTACCCAGCACCTGGAAAGGTGCAACCTGCCAACCGCACTGCAACGAGAGATGTACTTTTGCAACAAAACTTGGACCCCGCCACTACTTTTGTGAAACTACCGCCAAGTTGAACGCCTTACATTTTTGAAACTTACCCTTTTTTTCCCTGTTTCTTTTTTTAATGCTGAGTTGCGAAACTAATTGCACTTGAGTTTTTTTTTGTTTTTTTTTTTAAGAATATGAGGCTCCATCTATTGGTGGGGCACGCGAGGTATTTTACATCACATGATTTACCCAAATTAGCCTGCGCAACTGCGGTAGTAAGTTTAAATGCTAGTTGCGTTGTTTGATTTGTATTTTATTTCATTTTCGTTTATTGAACGAACGCAATCAAGCAGCCCCCCTTGTTTCCGGGCTGTACCATTCCGTTTATTTGTCCCGGGCAAACCCTGTGCCAAAAAATGATGAGAAGAGAAGAATCGAGGAGATGACGACGGGTTACGAAATCTGATTGCCATGGATGATCTTCAGTTGCCTCTTCAGTGAGTGAAGGGGCCCCGAGATAAATCCCGTTGCTTACTCCGCAACCACTGCCCTTTTGCGCACTCACACCAAGGAAAGGTCCCTCCTTTCGAGTACTAGAGGGATCTCTTCAGGGCCGAGGTCCCACTTTCAAAGAGGATAGGATGAACCTCCTGAATCTGGGCTTGGTTTAAGGGGAGATACATACAGAAAAGCAGCTCAATCTCGTTTTCCTGCACCTCTCCGCAAACACGTCCAGATTCAGACATTCGATCCAATCCTGTTTGCTAGTGGGACCACGCCCCAGGTCTAGAGAAGAGTTACCTCTGCTCGAAAGAAAGGGGAACGACCAAAGTAACTTCGAAAAATCGAAAAAAGAGAGCCAGGGAAACGACCAAAGTAACTGAGAAAAATCGAAAAGAGAGAGCCATTCACTAATTTCACGTCACTCAAACCCACCTCAGAAAAAAAAAAAAAAAAAAACGTCCTCCACCATACACTCGAGACCATCCATCACGGCAATGTTATCGCTGGTTTGGGCCAGTTCTTGCTGGCAGTCCTCGACTAGGCTACCCCCTGTTTTTTTCATCCTTGGACCTTTGGTCGAGGGTTCAGA